AGATCCTTGATGGAAGCACCTAGCAGTCCTACACCCCTTTTTCCCACTATAATTTCTTTTGTGCGAATTTGGTTGACTAGAGGTTTGGATTACTACAAGAAAGACAGGTCCAGACATCTTTGACTTTATGGTTTGATTAATTTGGACCATCTAGTTAAACATATTTCATAGCTTATAGTTAAGATGTGTCTAGATTTAGTGAACCTATTTTAGAGTTGCTGTGTGTCTGTCTTTGGTGATTAGGGGAAAATAATTTGTTTTTTAGACTATTAACATTATCATTCTTACAAAGGAAAATAAATTTGACAACCACATCTATGAATAAAAGCCAACGTATTTCCAGATTCACCCTTTGGTTTTTTGCCTCTTCTTTTTCTTTGCCTTATTTCCTTTTAGAATATGCTAGTTACTATTTACCAACAATTATAATAAACCACATTTCTGATTGCAGTTCTCTTATTGCATTCCTAGTGCACGTTGTAGTTTCACATCCTATTTTCCCATAGTGTGTTATTTATGAAAATTTGGCTTAGTACCACTTTGGATTTCTACAAGAAAGGTTGGTTCATCTTTTAACCATATGGTTCAATCAATTTAGACCATCTAGAGAATCAATTTACTGTCTCTTTATATCCAGTGAACCTATTTCACACTTACTGCGTGTCCATCTTCTGTGCTTTGCTGGAAATAATCTGTTTTTTGACCGCAATTAATGTTATGACTCTTTCAAAGGAAAATATAGTTTTTGATAACGTATGAAGGAACAAATGCCAACCCTTTTCGAGACTTCCCATGCTTTTCTTGCCATTTCCTTCTCCTTTTCCGTATTCATGAACCTTGGTTTCATTGCTGCATTCAATATAAAATGACTAGTCTACCAGGCATATTGCCCATACCAATATTGTGAACAAGTCTGTTCATCTTGAGCCATTGCCAATATGCAGGTTTCTTCCTTTCTGGTGATTTTGTTATAGCATAATTCTATATGTTATCTCTCTTTGTAGCCTTTCATTATTCTTTTGTGTGTATCCTTTAGATCCATCTTGATAAAATGATACACACCACAAGCTGGAATAGAAATTCCTGTTTTCAGTCATTCTTATTTCTAAAATTTTCTTTTCTTTCCTCAAACCGGTTTTATTTACAAAATGAATCTTGATTAATCATTCAACTTTAGAGCACTGTAAATCGTGTTGGAATTTCAATTTTCCTGTCACTGTAAATTTCAAAGCTTTTCTAGTTGGCGTACATTTCAATTATTTTAGTTGATGCATGAGTTGTATTTCTAAATCTTTTTCAACATTTTGAGAATATGGTTTCAGTCTCTCCTTTTCTGTATCATCAGATTTATCTCATCTTTCAGTTTATTTCAAATTATATATTGATGATGGTTTTAGTTCGACACATTTTTCACTACTTTCATGGAGCTCTTTTCATTATTATTGTTAATGGCTATTCTTTAACTATTGTCTCCAATTTGGATGAAAATTTTTTGTTAGGATTCCTTCAACTGTCAATTTTTCTGCTGTTTGTGACTTAAAATAAGAAGACCAGGGGCCACTGCCTCCCCAATAATGTGCATTATTTCTAATTTGCAGAATTTTAATCCTAGATTCAAGTTAGGTAAAGCTGAGGAACACAACCAAACAAGTTCCATCTACTCCAACAAAAACAGTTTGTGCTTTGTTTCCCTAGAAAAGATAATTGTGAGTGTTGAGGTAGACAAAGATAAAGTTGGACATGGAGATGATGATGATGATGATGATGATAGTGAATTTGATATGCTTTTAAAGTCAGATCAGTGATCTACCAAATAAACCTGTATGTGCATATCTCTGGCCCTTCAGCTGCATTGATATTCATTGTTTAGTTACAAGCATCTAAGATTAGATTTGTATTGTTCAAATTTGATGTTACAATTTCCTCTTGGTAGAGTTGACATTTTATATTCGAACTCTAGATTTTTCTTGCTTTATAGTAAGTTCAAAACCTTGAGGAACATACAGATCAAGACTCATAAATGGAAAGGGGCCTGAACCAGGGTGTGCATGCTACATTCTTGATAACATGTCCCTAGGAAGTTTATTGATGGTTTTAGTTCAAGAATTTAATGTCAATGAAAGTTGATGATCTTGTACAAGGTATATAAGCATGCATTCTACTTTTTTCTAATCAATCAAAACCCCATACGTTCATTTGCAGTACCGTGTTACTATGATCCATCTGTCAGGCCATCAGTACAGAACAAATACAAAGTTCTTCATGCATGGGAGAAATCTCGATTGATCCTTCTTGATATGTGAACAGAAGGTTGGGAATTTTTTCCTCTGGAACCAGACGCATGATCTTCCCTGTGATGCAGTCAATTAATGGATTTATAGCCGTAAGTATGTTCTTTTGCAGTTTTCTACACATTCATTCGTGTTCTACATATACAATACAAGATAATCTTACTCTTTTCAAAATCCTTTCATATGTCTTGTGTTTCAAATCTGACATATCAACTTAAAGTATTGAATCTGCATTAAAGCATCCTCTAAGTAACAAGATTATTAAGATTAATATTTTTTTCTTAAGGAAGTATAGAAACGGTGACATCGATTTATATTTGTAATATGATTTTTTTTTTAATTTTTAATTTTTTTTTTTTTTTTTTGCAAAAATGGAACGGAACACATCAGTAGACTTCATCCGAGAGACTAGATGGATGGCCTTTGGAGCATAAGCAACGGATTACCACAAGATGGACCATGAGAACTTGAGATATTATTTGCTCCACCTTAAAGGGCAGTGTTAGAGTTCACTAAGTGCTCGTTTTCTTGGCTGGAAGGAATGATTACTCCTTAGTCAAATTATATACTCACAAATTTGTGAAACTCCTTTTAGAACTTAGAGATATGTATTCCTCAATATAGTCATGATTTCTACTAAATTAAATGATAATTTGATGGCAGGTCAGTGATCTACCAAATATGTATATGCATTTTCACTATTCCATAATGAAGCTACATTCATTATTCTATTGCCCCACATCTAATCTATCATTATAATGGTAGAGTATGCACTGCTTAAGTGCCATTGTTGTTTGTGTGAAAGAGAGACAAACACT